AAAACGAAATGCAACTTTTACCTATGGATGAACAATAATTACTAAATATGATAGTGCCGGTGTTGGTAAGCACACTGTCTTTCGCATTCCCTATTGGTGAGATCCTTAACTGCAACAAACTTTTTAGAAGATAACTTTGCAATGTCTATCTAAATTGAAATATATCTATCCTTTGCTTTAGCAATTCCATTTCATCCTGGCAAAAGATATATATGTACATAGGTGCTAACTACATTACAGAATGAGGCGAAAAATCTCCAGAAAATGAAATGTACATTAATAAGAACTTGTTTAAAGATTTTGTCATGTCATAGTATAGTGGAGTACAATGTAGTCACTACAAAATATCTCGATATGGACAGCCACTCAGATATATTGCTATGTGGGAATTGCATGCTGTAGACAGCTATGGATACCATAGCCCAATCTGTGTTAAATATATTGTTAAAATGGGTGGCTATTAGACTGATGTGGCTCTCATGCCATGGCAGCCTATATAGGTAAACCAGAATCTGAGCCTCAGAGAGACAAAATTCAAATGTTAAGGACAACCAATCACAAACAGGCAAGAAGGCTTTAAGCTATAGCCAATCCAATGATTTCCTTTATTTGCTTCCTCACTTTCTCTCTATAAATCTGGTTGCTGTTGGCGGAGTGCTTTTTGCCAGTTCTGGCTTGGTGCTGTCCAGTTTTAGTCAATTTTTGCTCAAATAAATGCTTAAAAATTTTAATATGCTTCATATGCACACACATTTGCTTCCACATTCCTAGGACATTTCTGGATTTATATACAAGATATTATAGCCAGGAGTGATCACTAGAAGAGGGAGAAGAGGGCTTTAGTTTCCTGCTGTGTGGTTCTGTGTTATTTTACCATCGGTAGCAATGACTTTATAAGAATAGAGTTTAAACATTGAGAAGAATGTTCTATAACAGATAAAACATTTTGCTTGTTACTCACAGAAAATGTAAGATCTCAGTGACTCTAACTGCACCATAACCTGTGAGTGAAGAGCAGACAGATGCTTTGGCTCATCCCAAAGAATACCACCGCTTTGTGGCTTCATAGGTGTAGTTTTAAAAGGAAGTCTGAGGCAGGGGAAAACTAGGAGTAGGTTAACTTACAGGTCATCCCAGTAACAAGAAAAAAGTTCTGAGATGCTCTAAACTAAAATTACAGTGGCTGGAAGAGGCAGAGAAAAACAGAACAGTTAGCCTGTTGTTAATAGCTGTGAATCAGCTCTGAAAAAAACAACCAAAAAAACCCCTGCTCACTTTTCTTTACATGTATTGGAAATTAGAATTAATTTCCAGGTGACTATTTCTGTGATTACGGCAAAGAGAGACTAGCCAGGCACCATAGAACCCCAAGAGCCTCTGCTTCTTATGTACACACATTTTCCCATCTGCTACCTGCAGCGAATCCACAGGCGCAGACTCTTCTTCCTTGTGACCCTGCTGCACCTATCCCAGAACTGGCCCCGCTTCACCTTCTCCCATCCCCTCTGTCTATAGCTAATGGAAATCCTTTCACAGTGGCTTACTACCACCACCACCCTACTATGTATTAGAAAAACGCTTGCAAATCCCCAGGACAAACAGCCCTGCTGTCTTTTCTACCTAGCCGTGCTGCTGGGGGTCTAGACTCCATGCCCCCAAATCTGTCTTTTTTTTTTTTTTTTGCTAGCAATGGCCTAATAAACCCTTTCTTTAAAAAAGCCTTTCAGCCATAGAAGTTAAAACATTTTAAGACCAGGTAAGGCATTTAAGTACCAACACTCTAGGCTTTTGCAGGGAGTTGAAGGCTAATTGTGTCTGCATCATTGTTCTTTTCACTCCTGGCTAATTAGAGGCCTCATAGAACCAGAGAAAGCAATAAATTCCAGTTCTTTTCCCTAATCTCTTCCCTCCTTTTGTTTTCTTCTCTCCTATCACTCCCCTCCTTCCTTCCCTCCATGATTGCAAAGAAGGAGAAAAGAGAAACACCAGGTTCTCAAATTAATTGATGGATTTTACTGATGAGTTTTTAAACTCCAATTATTAACTACACCATGTCAAATTTCAGCGTCATCAGCATGTCAGTATCTTGTGCAGAATGATTGTGTTGAAACAATCCTGGCAGTTTTGCAAGTAAAACAGATAGTTAGTCCCAGTATTCTAAACTGGGAACACTGGTAGGCAAGCTACTGGGTTTTGAAATGTAAATCCTGCACTGCTAGGGTTGAGATTTTAGTATTTGTCAAATTCAAAGGAAACTGCCACTTACTAGGTACAGTAATTCAAAAAGGTTCTCTCCCAAACTGACCCTTCACTGAGAGATACTCTTTTCAGAGTAAATTAGTCTAAAAAGTACACTTTAGAGTGGTCATATTGTTCATTTCAGCTAACATGTCGAGCTCTGAATTCACTACAGAGGAAGTCATGGTGAGAAACAGGGTAATAACAAAGAGAAAAACATTTCTGCTTCCCCATTTGTTCTGTGCCAGAGCCTAAGTTTATAAAGGTTACTGTGTGATGACAAGGAGGGCCACATGAGGGACAGCAGGTTTGGGACAGGAAGCGGGAGGAGGAGGGTGGGGAGAGCCTACACCAGCAGCCCTTATTTGAGTGTTTTTGGGAAAAGCAAGGCAGGACAGGTTGAAGAGTTTAAGATTGGCGAGTCTGAATAATTTCAGCTGGCTTTGGGCTGCGGAGGAAAAAGTTTTATTCCACCCTCTTTGAGTTCCTGGCTTGGTATGAAACTAAACTGAGAAAGACAGATCAAGAGGAGAAAAGCATACACATTTATTTAATATAAGTTTTATGAGACATGAGAGCCTTCATAAGGAAATGGAGATGCAAGTGAAGAGTTAGAGTTGTGTATTTTTATGCTAGTGCTGCTGGTGGAAATCCTGTTCTTTCATGGGATGGTGAGGAGAGCATTCCATAGACCCATGTATGGGCATGGTAAGATTTATTCGGGTTGGAATAGAAGGCTGCCCCTGGGTTTCCAATGTCCGATATCCATCTGCCCCGCAGTGGAAAAAAATCCAATCTTGTCTTCCTCAAGACCAAAACAAAGGCCAGTGACTAGTTTCTTTAGCCCTTTGGAGCCAGCCCTGTCTGCCCCAAGTCCCAGATGGCTGTTAGAGACGCAGTGTTGCTTTAGAGAGAACACGAGAATGAATAGGGTGAGCACATGTTACTGGGAAAGAGAGAGACAGAGAGAGAGAAGGGCTTTGTTAGCTGCGAGTAAATTATCTTGGGCTTGGGAAGGACTAGGAGCTTTTTCAAAATAACCAATTTCCCATGCTTGCACTGGGTCTGCCTTCTAACCAACCAATCCTTTCCCCAGGCTAGACTAACAGGCCTCTATGGTTGCATCTTGGCTCCTATCGCACATGCCTTATAGAAACACCTCCCCCTGCACCATTTTGCTTACCTCCTCCTGCTCCCCTCACAATCTCACACTGAAGGGCTGGCTGCTCCTTATGTGGGGGAAGGATGGGTATAAATCCCCTTGACAGGGCAATGATGCTATCCCTTGGAGTGCGTGCAGCTGATTAAACAGGCTTATGCTCCCTAGTTGATTATGCTTAATTATGCCTAATTCCCTCCCTTTATATCTAGCTACCTACCCTAACACTAGGTTTAATGAAGGGTGGACAGTCATTCTTTAGTCAACTGGACGAACCTGTGTTCTTAGAGATCTTTAATTTTTACACTTTAGGTATATTCCTCAAACTATGGAAAACTTGTTTACATGTCCATTATCTCCATCATTATAAAGCTCCTGAGGAGCTGGGATACTATTATCCTCTTTGTACCTGAGATATAAGCATGATCCCTGTCAAAAATATTTGATCTGAATGGAAATACAACTTTATTTTTATAAACCTAATCAAATAGAGTTATGCATTACATAAACTATTCCTGCCAAGTCTCTTTTACTATTTAGTGCTCTCTCTTCTTAGTGGGTTCACGACCAAGTCTGCGTGGCAGAAGTCTCCTGTTTTGATGTTCCATCTCACAACAGCAATAGAAGCACCTTTCCATATTCAATAAAAATGTATCCGTCCCTTTTCCCACACACATTTATTGAGTCATTTCTAAGACCAAATGCTTTCCATGTATTATACTATTCAGTACTCTCAAGAACCCCAAAAGGCGTATATCATTGCCATTTTGCTAGAATGGAAGCTGAGCCAGATTTACTAATTCTCTCAGGCTCATAGAGCTAGAAATATTGGAAGCTGGGATTTGCTTTTATAATTGTCCAACTCCAAAATTCATGCTCTTTCCAATTTGCCTTGCTGCCTCTGTTTGCTCTAAATCCTGATCATCTGACAGCCATTAATGTATTTTAAGTGAACTACCTAGTCCATGTAAAGTGTCCTTTATAGATCATTATCAAGTTGTCCCTTTTCAGGGCTTTCTTATGAAAGATGACTTTCACAGTAGAATCGTAATCAGAGGATGGAGAACAGCACTGGTCCATGAGGACTCAGATTATGAAAAGTGGTCACGACAACTCCCACACCTAAATTCTTTAATGGCTCCCCATTGGCTTTTATTTGTTCAACCAGTATTTAGTGGGCACCTGCTAAGTCCCAGATGCTGTTCATCACACTGTGGATTTAAGAGCAAGTAAAACATACCAAATACTGGTCCTCACAATGCCTACGTTATATATTGGGGATTGGGAGTAAAATTATAATACGTGTGCATGGGAAAAAAGAGAGCAGGTCAAGAGGTTGGAGAGTGCCTTTATTGTAAAGTCATCATTTGGCTGTCATCTACTGTATACCACTCTAAGCAGCACACTCAGTGCTCCATCCTTCTGAAGTTCCTTCTGTCTCATGTTTCCACACAACCGAGCTGTTAATCTTCAAAGTCATAAACATATTCTCTCTTTCGTGACACCCTCAAAGTTCTCTGATACCTTCAAATCCTCATTTGCATGCCAGAGCATTCGTTTTCCAAAAAAATTAAAAATAATAAAAAGAGCACTAAACTTGTACTTGAGTGGAATATTTCATTTTCTGAGTTTAGAACGGTAGTTACACAAACATCTTCAATGACACATACATCAACATTAAGTTTTTTTCTTAGATCAACTTCCTTCTCACAGTTGCTGTTGGCATAACAGCTGCAATGAAATTCTTTGGCAAAGTGTTTCAGGTCTTCAACTGAGGGTTTCCCTTTTACTTTGAATTTCCCATTTTCCCCAATTTCAATAGCGAAATTCACTGGGTTCAGATGAAGATAGGTACTTGAATTCCATTCTTTCCTTGTGCAAAGTCCTTTGTCCTGGCAAAACACTTGGCTACATATTTTGGATGCTAGGGTAACATTGATTATGTAAGGGCCCAATGTAGAGTTCATGTAACTTTGTAGGTTCGTGCAGGCGACCTGTAAAATTATAAGAAGTTCAGCATATAAAGATCCAAGTTAGCTCATATGTTAATTAATTCACTGCAATAGGGAATTGCTAAGGAAACACAAAAAAACAGACTTAGCAGGGGTTAGGAAATATTTTATCTTTTTTACCTTAACAAGCAAGACTATTCTGTGTTTTGTAACATTTGTAAATTTCACATGCTATTTCATACCACTGAAATAACTGACTGATTGAGACTTAACATACCTTAGCCTTGGTTTATAATTTATAAACTAATAAGGAGGGAGTGCAGAATGGGCTCTGGGGTCCATCTGCCTTGATTGGATTAGAGTCTCAGTTCCATTAATAACTAGCTGTGTGAACTTGTGAGTCTTGTAAGCTTTCTAAGTCTTAGTTTCTTATCTGGACGACCTTGGGCAAATTAATTAACCTGGCTGTGCTTTAGCTTCATCATCTGTAAAATAAGAATAATTATAACATCTACCCCATGTGAAGATAAAAGGATACAAGGTATATAAAAGTATTTAGCACAGGGCCCAGCTTATTATTAGTTAGCCTTCAAGAAATTATAAATAAATGTAATAAGTACCACACACTTGTCAGATAAGTTTAAACAGCATTGGGAAAAGTGGTTTCTAAATTGCTAGCTCAGAACAACTAGACAGGGTTAACTGAGCATGCTTTACATTAAATGTTATGTATGGTTCGCGTTACAGGTGAATTTTAACTTCTTTTTTCCAAATATACTCTTTTGGAAGAATATGACTTATGTGTAACTAAAATTTTTCATCTTGAGACTAGTGCATTCTAAAACTGGGACACTGTCTTTTTAAAAACATAGAAGAGAGTCACCTTCTTTCCTGAACAGCAGTATCATGGAGTGAGCGGGCTGGGCTAGTCCTTCAGCAGACCAAAGGAACTGGTGGTGGGAGGTCAGAAAGCAAGTCAAGTAATCTTGGCAGCTTTTACTTGATCTGTTCCTTGCTACCCTCCTTGGGATGATACCCTCGATGGCAGGCAGAGGAAGGGCCTTCCAAGGATGTCCACACCCCAACCCCCTGGAACCTGCGACTATGTTCATTTACATGGCAAAAGAGATTTGACACATATGATTGAGGGTTTGGACCTTCAGATTGGGAGATTATCCTGAATTATCTGGATGAGCTCAATCGAATCATGAGTCCTTAAAAATGTGGAAATTTTTCCAGCTGAGATTTTTAAAAAATTAGATGGAATAAGTACAAATTCAAAGGTAAAAGAGACTCACCCCAGCATTGCTGGCTTTCAAGACAGAGGAGAGGTCCCAAAGCTAAAAATATAGTGACCTCTAGAAGCTGGAAATGACCCTTAGCCACAGCCAGCCGGAAAATAGAGATCTCATTATTACAACCAAGAGAATATTAATTCTGCCAACGACTCAAATGAGCAAGTGAGGACCCTCCCCCAGAAAGGAAGGCAGCCTTGCTGACATCTTGATTTTAGCCTCTTGTGACCCACATTGGACTTCTGATCTACAGAACTGTAAGACAATAAATGTGTTGTTTAAACCACTGTTTGTTGTAATTTTTATGGAAGCAGTAGAAAACCTTTTCTTTTTTTATTATTGATGTTTTTAGAGAGGAAGGGAGAGAAAGAGAGACATTGATGTGAGAGAGAAACATTGATCAGTTGCCTCACCCGTACACTCACCCCAGCTGGGGATCAAACCCACAACCTGGGTATGTGCCCTGACTGGGAATCAAATCCCCCACCTTTTGGTGTATAAAACGACACTTCAACCAACTGAGCCACACCAGCCAGGGCAAGGAAACCTCTTCTTAACCCTCCAATAGCTTTGCATGGTGTTTAGAATAAAATTCAACTTCTCTAGACTTGTATATAGACTGATGTGGTATAACCCTTCCTTCTGTACAAACCTCCCTCACCCACTTAGGCATACTAGATGTTTCACAACCATGACAACTTGACTTCAAACTGCACTTACTGTTCCCTCTGCTTGAAATACTCTTTCTTCTAGTTTCTAACATGGTTCACTCCATCCTGTCCTTCAGGTCATAGCTTTAATTAGACAGTGCCCTTCTTTGTCTGACACCTTTTCTGTCTACCTTCACATATCTATTTTAATTCTCTGCATTGCACATATCACACCAAACACTCTTCTTGAGTGCATATTGTTTCTATTCCTCCAACTTTAACATAAGTTCCAGGAGTGCAAGGACTTTGTCAACATTCTTCAACACTGTATCCCGAGTGCCAAGAATATATGAGAATGTATACCAAGTTCAGATGACATTGCAGTTGTCCACAGACACAAGAGCTAGACAAAAAGAGTGAAAGAATGAAAATGGTTTGAGAATCATTAGCCTATACAAGGTGTAGTCTTTGGAAAGAGCTAAAACTGGCTTTTTAAAAAATAAGGCCTGTTTTATAGCATTTGTTAATACCTATGGTGTAAATACTCTTACCATGGCAAATTTTAACCTACCAACCTGGCATTACTGAATGCAGAACTGAGAATCAAGTGTCCCACCATTACACAGTATGGTAGTTATGGTGTAGAATAGAACATCATTGCATAATATTTCCACTTATAGATACAATAGATGTGACTAACTCCAAGAAATAAAGTAAGTAATTGATACATTTTGGGTATTTATTACTTTGTTTTTAACACAATTTATTTTATTCTAAGCTTTTGTAATTTAATTTTTATAATGGCTGTGTTGAACAACCAGTTCATAAAAATTATGAATATTTAACAATCAAGAGCTGGGACCAATAGGAGCTGGCTCTATCACAGCAATGGATTTAATAAAATGAAATGGAAAGAAATGGTTTGCTTACATTTGCTAACAATTGTTTTTAAGTCAATTGAAACTAGGTTTGCAATTACCCGTTTCTCATGTTGTCAGTGAATCTCAGGAAACATGACAAATAATCCATGACTATTGATTACAAATGACATAGAAAAAGTGGGGACATATACCTTAGCTGGTTTTGCTCAGTGGTTAGAGCATCAGCCTGAGGACTGAAGGGTCTCAGATTCCATTCCAGTCAAGGGCACATACCTCAGTTGCAGGCTCCATCCCTGGCCACAGTCAGGGCATATCCAAGAGGCAACCACTCAATGTTTCCCTTTCTCTCTCTCTCTCTCTCTCCCTTCCACTCTCTCTGAAAAACAATGGAAAAAATATCCTCTGGTGAGGAGAAAAAAAAAGGGAAGTAATAATAGAACTAGCATTCAGAATTATCATAAATTGGGAAAATTGGCAGAAACATATAAAGCAGAGTCCACAGGAGACAATTACAAGGCAATGTCATTAAACAGAAAATAGCAATATTAAAGTTGAAGGATTGTCCCTGTATGAATAACACTGAAGACAGTCTGAGCATCTTGATAGAAGAATGTGAGTCTAAGATCAAAGTGCAAGTAAAGAAAAGTGTGACAATTAAATAGTATATCCCATCACCTTACCAGTTAAGGAGTGCCTGGTTCATTCCTCATCAGAGTAAGAGGGAGTTCTCAGTTTTTTTAAAAAACACACACAAGTAGTATAGAGAATTTATAAATGGGCTATCGCAACCCATCAAAGGACCCTTGAGAACGGAGCTTATAGATCTGGGAAAACAACAAATGAAAATTAGGAATATCACCCTAGCTGGTTTTGCTCAGCGGTTAGAGCATTGGCCTGTGGACTGAAGGGTCCTGGGTTTGATTCCAGCCAAGGGCATGTACTTTGGTTGCAGGCTCAATCCCCAGCCCTGGTCGGGGCACGTGCAGGAGGCAACCAATCGATGTCTCTCTCTCTCTCTCAGCGAGGTTTCTCTCTCTCCCTTTCACTATCTCAGAAAAGCAGTGGGAAAAATATCCTCAGGTGAGGATTAAAAAAAAAAATTAAGAATATACTTAGGTGAATTGTAATATTTAAATAATTTTCTGATATATGAAAGATTTTGAAAAAGGAACATATATACTTTTCTCTGAACTTATATTTTTATGTTATTTCTCTTTATTGGGGATCAAACCAGAGATAATAAAATTCTTCCAGATAGGCAAAAGGGATCAGGTTATCTTGAAAATATTTCACAGGGATGACTTCTGTTAAGTACTTTTATAAATGAAGTAAAAATGTGGCTGGTCTTTCTAAGGACAAGAGATCAAAAGGTCGTTTCTGGTCTTAGAGTACAGTCTCTTCTCTGCGGGTCCTAGGATAAGACCCCTGGGCCATGAACTTTATTAGACTTTCTCAGTGGCACCTACATCGCTAGTATTTCCACGTCCATCAGAAAAGAAAAAGTTCAGCTCCAATTCAGTAGTGTCCATGTGACGGCTTTACTCTTGCTTTGAGACAAGAGGATTAAAGAGGTGGAAGATAAAGCCCTGACATGGAGAATCAAACAGGTGTGAAGATCAAGGAAGAGAGAAAACCATTAGGCCATGATAGTCAAAGGCTTTCTGAACTAAAGAAAATGCATTAAGAGAAAATGAATTCATACTATACAAACCAAAACAGGCATTTTTTTTTCCTCATGAAACAAATTTTACTTAAAATAGACACTACTAAATATAACCTGTGGGAAATAAAGAAGAGTTCCTTTTCCTTCCCCTTAAGAAAGCTTTGAATAATTTACAAATATTTTCAAAAAGTAACTCCTAATTGCCCACACACACCCATCTCAATTTACTCTCTGCCCAGCCCTCACCAAACCACTCCTAAAGTCTTTCGCATCTCAGAGGCAACTTCTTCAAGCCAAAAGCCGTAGGGTCATTTTAACCACCTCTCTTATCTGTCCTACTCACCCAATCCCTCAGCCAATTCTCTCAGCTCCACTGTTAGATTATATTCAAAATCCAAACACCTATGATCCAAGCCATTGATAGCCTCCTCTCTGTTCCCACTGTTGCCCCTCTAAAATCTACTCTCACCTCAGTGGTCATTCTTCTGAAACATTCATCATAAATTGCCACTCTTTTCCATCTCAGGGTAAAAACCCATCATGGCCTATAAAGTCCCACTCTGACCCTCTGCTCTCTCACTGACCACATACCCTTTACCACTCCCTTCCTTGCTCACTGCACTTCAGTCACATTGACCTTCTTGCTCATTCTTGAAAAGCACATTCCAGCCTCAAAGCTACTGCATTTACCATCCCCAGGTATCCAGAGCTTTGGTCCCTGATTTCCATCAGGTCTCTAATCCAATGGTACTTCCTCAGAGAGGCCTTCTATGACTACCCCACCTTAACTAACATGATTTTGTCACTCTCTACTCTGCCTATACTGCTTCATTGTTCTTCTTTGCAGTTATACATCAGTTACCTGACATATTGCATATATGTGTGTGTTTTATTTCCACTTATGAGAATGTAGCTTCATGGTGAAAGGGCTTTGCTTTGTTCACTGTTATATTTCTAGCATCTAAATAATTACGAGCACTTAATCAATAAACCAAGGGTTGGGAATTTTTTATGTAAAGGGACAGACAGTGAATATTTTGGGGTTGTGAATGATACAGTCTGTTATTCCTTTATATTGCAAAAGCAGCCACAGACACTTAAATGAGTGAGCTTGACTATGTTCCAATGAAATTTTACTGATAGACACTGACATTTAAATTTTACATGATTTTCATGTTTTATGAAATACTATTCTTCTTTTGTTTTTTTAATCCATTTAAAAATGTAAAAATCATTCTTAGCTCATGAGCTGTAAAGACAGAAGCAAGCAGGAGGCCAGATTTGATCCATGGACATTCCTTGCTGACCCTTACAATAAACTGTCACAGAATGACAAAATGGATAAATAAGTGCTTAATGAATGAAAGAAAGAAAGAATGAATGAATGCATATTGACTACTTGGACCTCTTTTGAAAAGAGACACAGCATGATGTAATAGAAAAAATACCACACACTGTCAGAAAACTAAGATTATAGTCCTGTGGCTAGTAAGCGCTACTTGCTAACCACATAGCCTAAAGAATTTCAATTAATCTCACTGAATTTCTGTTTTCTCACTGAAAAAAAACAAGTATAATATTTTCTGCCCCAAAAAATAACCACACAAATGAAAGGTAGTTTGATTCAGCTAGTAATAAGCACTTCCGACAGTCTGTGCCAAATATAGTATTTATTTTATTATTCATTACCACAACAATCCTCAAAAACATTAAAAGTAGAAATGTTTTCATCTATGTCTTATCAATTCAACTTACCAAACTTTGGCTTAAATTGAGGCTTCCCCAAATTATAATTCCAGAGGCACCTAAAGAAACAGTTTCACCAAGTGTACTCACAAGGTCCTCCTGGCAAATGGGACAGAAAATGTTAGCAAAAAGGAGTGAAACAAAAGTGTTATACACAGGACAGTAACACCAAAGCTAAGAATACTAACCCAAGAATAATAATTTAAACTTTACATAATTTTCATGTATTATGAAATGCTATTCTTTTGTTTTCCTCATTATTTCCATCTTTCACACCACCACTACCTTACTATAACAAAAATACAGATATTTCTTTTTTTTTTAGTTACTTTCATTGACAGGAGAGCAGGCCCATGAAAAAAAAACAGGAACTGAGTTAATACATTGCCTATACTACCTAATTTTCCATGGTTGCTAAAATGATTGCATTAAAATGCAATATATTCTTATTTAACATTCAAGTAATAATGCAGAACCACCCGTGTGCATATTCCTAAAGGATATTAAAAGCTAAATTTCACTCCCTTCAAAAATGATGTTAAGCTGCAAAATTTCTCTTCTACAGAGCATTTGACATCTTGCTCCTGCATATGGCTGTCAGGTTAGCTCAAACTCTCATGAAAAAAAATTTTTTAATGATGTTAAATTCCACCAAACACTATTTGTGGGCACTATTTCATAGTCCTCATACTTGGATTTGCTTACCTCAGTAAGATATTTCGAAGATTCATCAGTAAAAACTGGACGAGCATATAGAAAAATCGGAAGTGGACTTTCAACACTGCGTACTGTAGAAACCCGAATGGCTTCCTGAACACGATTACGGACAAAGAGTGCAGTTTTTGGAGAAGACATTAGGTTGGTATTCAAATAAATGGATGGGAAAAGGGCAGTGCTTTCATTCCACAACCAGTTGAGCTCATTATTTCTTCTCTTTTCTATCTCAAAGCAATGCCCGCTGTAATCAGGTTTACTATATTGATGATTGTAACAATCAGGAAAAAGATAATAACCCCATAAGCTGCCTGGCCGAAACGATTTTCCCAAAATTAAAGTCTCTTGCATGAAATTCCTTCCTTCTTTTTCATAATTTTCTTTGGCTAGGTCGTTGGCATCTTTGTCACTAATTTGTGGATGTTGTAGCTTAACCAAATCAACAGATTTAGTCCTGTAAATGTCTTTAGGTTTCCAGTTTCTTGCCCAGATAGGCCTCCACTCTTCCCAGTCAATGACAGCCAAGCCTGGCTTGTCTGTTGGCATGTAAAAGGCAATGTCTTTCTTAGCTTTCTCCAAATGCTTTGTTAAGTTACCCAACTGGGGGATTCCTCCATTATGACTCTTGCCATGCTTATCTATGTGAGGATATAAGCCAAGTCTATCAACATAAAATAATGTAATGGGTTGTTCTTTGGCACCCTTTTGAGGGTTTCCTATTAAAGAAAAGAGGCTCAAATCTATCAACACATTAAACCTCTTAAAACAAGGTTGAGTTGGTGCATTCCAAGCCCAGAGGAAAGAAATGTTTGGCAGAAAAGGGTGTGCTCTGAAATCCTTAGTCAAGCAACATGGAATCAGAAGAAAGGTGAACAGAACCTGGGATGCTCCATTGGACCCAAAAAAGCTCCTAAAGAAGATATGCTTGAACTCTAGCACTCCCATGGCAAAGAGTAATGACCATGAAAATCACTTATTTCTTCCTACAGGCTTTGGTTCATCCAATGTTTGATGCGAGATTTAAGCACAGAAGACAGAATCATGGAAGGAAGACACTTTGATGGGTAAAGAAGTATAATGATATTACTTTTAAATATTATTCTTCCTGTTTCATGTTTCAGGAAGCTATTGCAAGTTGTTTCATCTATAACTGAAAGAGAAAGAGAGATAGAATTTATTGTTATACTCCATTTCTGTATCAGAGATCATAAGCTTTACCAAGTCTCAACTTTAAGTATAGGGAGTTTAATTCAATTTTTGAAGATGGAAGACTCCTGTATTTGAATAAATGAAGTTATTTCCTCTTATATATACTACAAATCCTATAATAGTTAACATTTGTCTCATTTTCCCAAATCATTATTGAGCCTGGAGAGAGGTGTATGTTGCTGTTTCCCCTTTATCTTCCCCATTGTGTAGACTGCTATACTGAGCAATGCTTTAGCAAAAGCCTGCTAAATAAAAATAATTTCCAAGTTGAACCTCTCATTCTTGTTTATTTTTTAAAAGACCACTTTATAGTGGTCTGCCAAAAATTGAAAACAACCTCTCATAGAACTGTGAGATTTTATTTATTTTGTTTAAAATGGGAGATGCCCGGCCGGGCGTGGCTCAGCAGTTGAGCATCGACCTGGGATTCAGGCGATCAGGGTTCGATTCCCGGTCAGTCAGGGTACATGCCCGGGTTGTGGGCTGCAGCCCATCAATGACTCTCTCTCATCATTGATGTTTCTATCTCTCTCTCTCCCTCTCCTTTCCTCTCTCTGAAATCAATAAAGATATATGAAAAAAAAAAAAGATAAAATGGGAGACAAGTCAAGAGAAGGCAATATTCACTTCTGAGGTAGTAGTCAAAGGTTTGCCTAAGACTCCTGGATCAATCAAGATCTCTTGAAGTGCTATTTGGAACAGTCCTTTATCATATTTCAAAGTAATGTATTCTCATGTTAAAAGTTAACAAAACATTTTACAATTTTATATCTTTCACTAAAAGGATTAATTCTGGCCTAGCTTAATAAAAGCACTATATAAATTTTGGTCTTTTATAGTCTTTGAGTGAGAATGTCTTGTCATTCTGATTGCACCATGTGAGGTGTTATGGCACATTTTGTGGTACAATAAAACAGTCTGAGCCAAGAATAAGTAGTTAAGCTAAGTATTATTTAATATTTTCTATTTGTAAAATTTAACTACAAGAGACATATTTAAATGTTCTGTGATTCTAGGAAGAAACTAAATCCTTTTGTTATAATTCGATTAGTAGTATACTGTTATGTGAAATTACAATGAGAGTTGTACCATTTTCCCCAAAAACATGTGTCCTTACCATACAAATTACCCATTCATCCACATCGCTGAAAAATTACTCTAAGGAGAACACAATAGACAGAATAAAATGAAATTTTAAGAACTATTGTAGCCTCTGCTTTGAAGATAATGGATTTTTCTCCTATGTTTATAACATGTAAAGGAGCTAAAATTTTTCATAGTTTAAGCCTGTATAAATTTCCTTACTCAGGACCTAGAAAATCTTCACCTAAAGTAATGTTGGAGAGAAGAAAACTAATTCCTTTCCACTATCAACTACCAATACCAATGCCTGAATGACCAGGAGTGGGAAAAGTAAATGGGATAAATAAAGGATTAGATGTTCCTGGCATCTCAGGGAAGGAATAAGTTAAGTTTATTGAAATAATTAACATTCAAATCTATTTTCCACATCATCATTGTATATAAGAAAAACATGGGGAAGAATGAGCCTATTAGGAAGATCTTCACCCACAAAAATCTTCAAAAAAAAAAAAAAGAAAAGAATGGACACCTCCATTCTTCAAAATTGTGAATTTAAATTAAAAAAATTTTAAAGTAATAAGGCTATTGACATTTAAAGGATATTGAGATGAAATCATCCTGACTTTAGGGTTGACCCTAAGTCCAATGACTGGTATCCACATAAGAGGAGAGGACACAAAGACACAGAGATCCAGGGGAAAGGGCATATGACTCTGGCGGCAGAGATCAAAGTGATTCAGGTACAAGCTAAGAATGTCAAGGATTGCCAGGAGCCGCCAGAAGCTAGGAAGAAGCAAGGAAAGGTTCTTTTCTGCATCTCTCTGATGATTAATGAGGCATCACCTCACACCTGCCAGAATGGCCACCATCAACAAATCAAGGAACAAGTGCTGGAGAGGGTGTGGCACTACTGGTGGGAGTGCAGGATGTAGAGAAAAGGGAACCTGAATACGCTGCAGGTGGGAGTGCAGACTGGTGCAGCCACTATGGAAAACACTATAGAGGCTCCTCAAAAAATTAAAAATGGAGCTGCCTTTTGACCCAGTGATCCCACTTCCAGGAATATATCCTAAGAATCCTGAAACACTAATCAGAAAGAATATATGCACCCCTATGTTCATAGCAGCACAATTTACAATAGCTAAGATCTGGAAACAGCCCAAGTGCCCATCAATAGATGAGTGGATAAAAAAGCTGTGGGACATTTACACCATGTAATACTATGCAGCTATAAAGAAGAAGGATCTCATACCCTTTGAGATAACATGGATGGACCTGGAGAGTATTATGCTAATTGAAATATCCAGACAGAGAAAGACAAGTATCACATGATCTTCCTCATATGTGGAATCTAATGAACAAAATAAGCTGATGAACAAAATAGATCCAGAGACATGGTAGCATGGAACAAACTGATGACTCTCAGAAGGGAGGGGCAAGTTGGGGGGGGTGGGAAGAGATTAACCAAAGAACTTATATGCATATATGCATAACCCATGGACACAGACAA